TTTCAGAGTGTATAAATCTCTCAATCTTCTCAATAAATATAAATGATAAATTCATATTTATAAGTCACATAATTAAATAGATGGCCAAGCATACAGACATCTCAAAGGTAATGCTGAAACAAGCAGACTGTTTAGAAATTGTATCATATAACACGGTTCAATATATCATTTTCCGTATCAGGGATGTCTTTTCTTTCCGCTGGAAAAGGTTATTTCAAATTAAACCAACAAACTGAAAAGTGACAGACTGACATTTACTTCTATCTTATAAAACCTGTCTTATAAAAAAGTATAGACATGCAAAATATAAAAAGATAAAATCAAAATGGAAACAGAAGCTCGGGGAAGAGGCTGTCTACACTTGGGCTTGACTCCTTTATTAATGTGTTTTCTAGGGTCTGAGAGACAGGTGAGGTGAGGTGAGAATTGGGTTTAACGTCTTGCTTGAGAATATTTCGCTCATATGACGACGTGCATGAGTGTGTATGTGTATGTGCGGCTGCTTGTACTAGCACAGACTGAAGCTGGTTTTATAGTGCTAGCCCACTGAGATACCATGCCGCAGTGAAGCATGAATACCCCACTCAGACACATTATACTGACTCTGAGCCGACCAGTCCTTGATGTACCCATTAATGCCGAGTGCCAGACAGGGACCAACAAGTACCATATTTTAACGTCTTTTGGTATGACGCGGTCGGGGATCGAACCCGCGACCTTCCGCTCTTCTGAGAGACAGATTAAGTAAGTGACATATATGTGATATGGTATACAATGTAATTCTACACATCCATTAAAGCTGGCCTAGCTTCTGTATCGAGTCCACGCCTGCTGCAAACAGTTGGTGATATTCGTCAGATGTCTTCAATTACTCTAACACAGGCTAACAGTAATTTCATGTATACTTCAGCATCATACAGTGCACAGCTTCAAACTTTATCAGGTAGATTTCCTGCTTTTGTAAAATACTAAGATATGAAACATATAACTCCATAACTTCGCAAATATATGAAACATAATTACTTAATTTTGCCATATACCTTTTAATATACTGCCATAATTTTTATTGATATACAACATTATAACTGCTATATTGATTACACTTGCTAAGAACACTCAAATGATTACTTTATGATGTCACCATTTTCTTCTCTCTATGTTATACGTGAGGTGTTTGCATAAGCCCCTGGCTTGTTCCCCGATCCTCATTTCTTGTATTTTGAAATAAAAATCTGCTTAAACTATACAGTCTCTCTTAATATGTCAGGAGCCATGTCACAAAAAAATCCAGACTCACTCGTTTTACACAGGTATAAAAAAAACACTGTTTTACAACAGCATATGGAAATTATAAAACTGGGTGTTTAATATGAGATAAATTGAAAGCAGTAAGATTGGCTCATGGATAAACGGCATCCATGATTCAAACATCACAGATATTAGAACCCAAGTGCACAAAAAGGCTTAAGGGTTTACTGCAGTGGTCACAGACACGAAGGAAGACCAAGACTGTGTGATTATAATGATTAACACCCTGTTGATAGCCAATCCATCACACTTCAGGAGCACAGACATTGGTTTGCTGGTATTGCCAGTAATCCTGCCAATCAGAAGGTCCAAATGCTCTAAACACACAGAGGTATACAACAGGCTTAGAAAGCTGCTCTGATGCCACCTGCTGCAGTCGGCTGTCTGACAACCTGTGTGTATTCAGTGATAGCGGCGCTACACAATAGGAGGAGGTAACGAGGGAGTTTTAGCATGTTTATAATCCCTTTATTGCACTCGCTACTAAACATGGTTACAGCATTACAAGGTCATTACACAATGCCAACAGTATTAACAACAATAAGGGGGGGGGTCTCATCAGGAAGCTACTGGTTCATCAACTATATGCCTCAGTGGACTGGCCGGTACCTTGCCATGTAGAAGTAGACCACTGTCACTGACTAACGGATGTCACCCTCATGGCTGTGTTTACAATGGTTCATATTGCCCAAGTGTTAAGGGATCAGGACCTCTGTTCCCCCCAAAAAATAATCCCTAAGCTAGTACCTCAATTCTGTGAGAGATCGAAGGATGATGATGATTTTGGAGATTTAACATACACTTTCCAAAATAATGCGTATTTCATACACAGGCCCACCAGGCCTATTAGTGTTCGATTTAGTGAGTGAGTGAGTTTAGTTTTACGCTGCTATCCAGCTATATGATGGCGGACTGTAAATAATCGAGTCTGGACCAGACAATCCAGTGATCAACAGCATGAGCATCGATCTGCTCAATTGGAAACCAATGACATGTGTCAACCAAGCCAGCAAGCCTGACCAGCTGATCCCATTAGTCGCCTCTTACAACGAGCATGGGTTACTGAAGGTTCATTCTAACCCGGACCTTCACGGTTTTGATTTAGTGGGGAAAAAAATCACTATATAACTTTATATGTTCACCCAGATTAGATTTGATATTCAGCAACCCAAGCTTCTCGTAACAGGCAACAAAAGGGATCGGGTGGTCAGGCTCGCTGATTCGTTTGACACGTCATCCTGATTCCATGCTGTGTAGATCAATGCTCATGCTGTTGATCACTGGATTATCTGGTCCAGACTTGTTTACTTACAGATCACTGGAATATTGCTGAGTGCAGCGACAAACAGACATGTTTGAATCATTCATGTGCATAACTTTTGACATCCTCATAATCTACATCTGTTTTGCTCTACACAAGTTGATCTGGGGTAGTCACCAGTGATCCCTGCTTTTGTTACGATGTGTCAGTTTGTCACTCAGCAAAATTCAAGCTACATCAGGGAGGTCCTTAAATATACAAGTCTAGACTTGACAAGCGATCATCTTACATAATGGAGCATTTGGGGTGTGATGACACCCATCAGGATCAACCACGTAAGTGATCCTAACCACCTGATCCTGATAGTTTGCTGTTAAACGTCGCACTCAGCAATATTCCAGCTATATGGCACTCCTGTTAGTTGAGACCTATGACACTGGTTACTGAAGAATAATCTATCTAACATTTCTACTAAACAGGGTGAAGATTTTTACTGAGGCAAGAGAGTTCACGGACTGAAAAAGTCCATTTCCGTCTGTGGAAAAAAGAGGAATTTCATAGCTCATCCAGGGCCATGAAAGGCTACTATTACATATGTCACTTGTAAGTCCTGTCTGATTCCAACAAAATGGTGGCACCCATTCAAGACAAGATTGATAACCAAAATCTCCATTCCAACACACCGGTCTTACCTTGATGAGTGCATCAGATCGCTAGAGCAACTTGCTTAAAAACATGAAAAGATTTGGAAAATATCTTTCACCCAATTACATTAACATAAACGGTAACAGAGCAGCTGTCATGACATCAACAATTAATGGATCCGTTACTGCAGGACGATTTATATATGTCAGACTCAGAAGCTTGAGTTTCCCACTGCAATCTACACTCAATCGACAGAATGAAAGTTATCAACTACATTCAAACTGAACATAAAACTCATTAAACATTCATTACAAAGAATATTATGTAGCAGAGACGCTCTGTACAGCAACAGGAGAGAGGACATTCGAGTTTCAGGAATTCACGGCGGATGGAAGTATACAGCAGTACTATGAAGTATCTGTTTAATAGCATTTTTGTCCAACAGCAGTACTATGGAGTATTAATTTAACAGCACTTAAAAAGTAAAGTAAATCATTGTCATGTTTTCAAACAAAAATCTGTATATCCTAAATTTTCATTCCTTGTGACTAAGTCACTTTGACACTCTACTTAGATTTATGATAGTTTCTAGAAATAAGAGCCAGAGTCCTTGACTGAGTTTAGTTTTACGCTGTTTTAGCCAATATTCCAGCAATATCACAGCAGGGGGCACCAGAACCAGAGCCCTTGAACTGTATGCCAAAATAACTGAAAATGTGTGTGTTGCCATCAAGGGCTCTCTGAACATGACAAGACCAAGATCCTCCAAGTCAAATATATTCTGCACAGAAATGTGTTTGGTGGATGAGGAACTACGGTCAGAGGTACATTAGCACTCAGTGTTACAGTCCGTATTTAACAGTCAGCATAAGTATATTCTCAACTTGTAGTTACAGAATAAATACACTTACAGCACCTCCTACTGCAACCAGTAACTACATGATACATCCCTAATCTTACTACACTAATTCATCATGGTGATTAAACCAAACAACCCCATATCCATTAAAAAATTAAAAGAAATTTGATAATAATATATAATAAAATGACGTTTCATATTTTGTGTAACAGTAATATTTATTTCAAACATTATGGATTAAAGAAAAACTGAGTACCGTGTGAATTATAAATACATCTAAAACAGCGACAACACTTGTGCAATCTATATGTTTGCATTTTAAGAATATTATTTAAAAATATTAACTCAATTATCTCGTATTTAGATCAATAACATCAGATGGAACGTCCTAGAAGCAGAAACAATTTGCCTTTCACCTGACCTTATTTACACTGCATGCATGATGATGTATTAAGCTATTAAGTACAAATCGATGTGTTCAGTAGCCGGAACCCTTACATAATACAAGGCTGTACGCTTATATCTGTCTGTACCCGGCATTCTTTACCCAACAGTCACCAGTCCATTTTCTGACTAAAACACCGATACAGAAAAAGAAAATATATCCCGCCGGCGAACAGGAATTGAAATATGAAACAAGTCGCGCCAGTCATCGTCTGTGTCAGTATTTTATGTAAAGGCGCTATAGTATTACCTAGATATAATATCTGTCATGAACTATACCGTGGCAATTATACAATCGAAAGAAAGAGAAGCACCATGGGACGAATTGGGTGGTATAATAACTGTGTTATAAGAGAGTTGTTATCATGTTGTGCGATACGTTTCATATCGTACGGCCCTATCAACCTGTGTGTATGAAATCATGCAGAAAAAGTAGGCCACCTCTGTCAGTCAAGATATCGACCGACTCATTTGTCGACTTACCTGTATAAATGACGCAGCAACAGAGGATGGCTAGGTGTGTCAACATCTTGTTTGGTTGGCTATCCACATTGCCGGTCAACTATAATCCGGTGACATTCGCACACTCTCACAGTCCAAATTGGCACTGACAGTTGCACAACTGTGTCGTCGTCACTGTGATAAAGCCTGTGTAAAGGGATATATCTCTGACAAGCCGCTTGAACTATCCCCCAACTCGTACAGTAGGCAGGGGCTTGTGAAAAAAGTATCCAACTTCTTGACGACTGTTTAACTCACATAGTTTTCAGAGAAAATCAATGTGAATTGGACGAGTACTGAAGCGGACTTCTGCCTGCACGAGTTGTCTCATGTAAACACGCTCACACGCTCGGCGAGGATAGACGTTCGACCAATCAGGATCGAGGTCAGAGGTTAAAATGACGGAATCTACCCTGTCGACCAATGGGCGGGGAGTATTAAGGTAAAAGGTTGCTCATTTGGATAGTGTGGCATGGAATGGTTCCGCCAAAGTTAAAGCACATAACCGAAGTAAACACACTGACTCACACCAACTAATGAAGAATTCATTAGCTAAATTCTGACAGACGCTTAACAGTCTGGATGAGTCGAAGAATATCCGTATGTATCTCGTGTTATAGGATAATGTCTCCCTGAAGCATTCGTACTTGTAATAGTTTTTTAAGTAGAAACTTGAAGATAATGTATGTCATACATCTTGTACGTGTTACCACAACCACCTGCTATGGGTTACTGCGTACATTGTGTGAACTTAACATGAATAGATCATCACCTACTTACTTTCCCACTATGAATAGATCATCACCTACTTACTTTCCCTCCCCCCTCCCCCTCTCAGCATAAACAGGTTATCATCCCCCATCTCTCTCTCTCTCTCTCTCTCTCTCTCTCTCTCTCTCTCTCTCTCCCTCTCTCTGTGATTTGATGCATATATCCACATGCAACTTCGCGCAAGCTTTGCTTTCACGTGACACTTGTTTGTTGTATCCCGGCAGTAGTCCAGCTACACGACGGTGGCCAGTAAGATCAGTTCTGGACCAGACAAACTAGTGATTAGTGTCATTTAATTCATTCCGTTCCCTGGGAGGACAAGCAAGGTTGCCGATTAAAACAAATCTGGAATCCTCAAACTTGTACTCCACAAATTCACCCTCTTATCCACGAACCTGCTGATGCTCGGCCGACCCAGTCATCTAACGCGAAACAATTCAGTAGGTTGCCTCCCTTGATCATGCCAGGAACCTGTGATCGTGGGTTTGAATCTCGGTTCGTCCCGATTATATGATTCTGGGTACACGATCCCCGTACTAGCGAGCTTCACCTGAGCAGTAAACGTCTGAGACCCGCATGGCTTTTCACCCACGCTCATCTTGCCCGCCGTGATATAACTGAGAAACTGTGAATGGGCGTTAAACCTATCCCTCTCGCTCCAACAATCTGTATCCGCACATGTTCCGTACAACAGTAATCTCGAGGACTGGGGCAGTTACTGGTCTCAGCACGTGTGTGCAATTAATTTACAATCCACTTCATTTGTCTGCCAACTCAAATTTTATGATATCTGTTAATCTGGAAGTTAATGAGAAACCTAACTCAACAGATATGCTGTTTCGGTTTCACTCGTGGGATTAACAAAACGAGGCTGGAAATAGAAACCAGCTCCTGGAGCACATGACTAACAGGTGCGTAAAGCCTTTATGCAAATCTGGAGTAAATGCTGTCGCCAGCAATATCCCAGCTATATCATAACCACCAGTAAATAGTCAGGTCTGGATCAACTATACATGGAGACGATAGGTCAGCGTAGTGGTTAGAGCGTCCGCCCGTCACACCGAAGCCTTGGGTTCGATTCCAAACCTGTGAAGCCCATTTCACGCACCCACGCACGGCACGCACGCACCCACCCACTCAAGCATTAATGTGACCTAAGCATACGAAACGATTTACATCGACGACAATTACGTGTTCACACGTAGCCAAGTCATCTAAGGCGCCGCATTTCGTGCTTTCGATGGGTCGTTGGGGTAGCTTAATGTTAAAAGCGTCAGCTGAAGACCCGGGTTCGATTCCCCACAAGGGTATAATGTGTGAAGCCCATTTCTGGTATACCCTGCCGTGATATTGCTGGAATATTGCTAAAGGCGACGTAAAACCCAACTCACTCACCCACTTGTGCGTTCGATACCCGGTTCTCGCTGATTATAAGTTTCAACTGATTTGTCAGCACCAATCTCGAACTCGTTGGATTCCCCAAAGCTGGAAACACAAAAACTACATCATTTCGGGATTTCCCTGGCGTCATATATAGTGGAAATACTGTTCAAAACAACATCAGACCAAACTCACTAACAATCAACTAGGAGAACTAAGGGTATCAGGTGGCTCGCTGACTTGGTTGATGCATGTCATCGTATCCCAATTGCGTAGACCGATGCCCACCACTGGATTGTCTGGCCCAGTGCAGCGTCAAACGAATTAGAACCCGTGAAGATCCGGGATAGAATAGGTCTTCAGCAACCCATGTGCTTGCCATAAAAGGCGACTATGCTTGTCGTAAGAGGCGACTAACGGGATCGGGTGGTCAGTTTCGCTGACTTGGTTGACACATGTCATCGGTTCCCAATTGCGCAGATCGATGCTCATGCTGTTGATCACTGGATTGTCTGGTCCAGACTCGATTATTTACAGACCGCCGCCATATAGCTGGGGTATTGCGGAGTGCGGCGTATAACTAAACTCGCTCACTCACTCACTCAAACGAATTAGAAGATCCGAACCACCCAATCCTGCCTGGTCATCTATAATGGCAAGTATTGTACATAGTTTCGCACGGACCTCCTACTGGGCTAAATTAATATTTATTTATTATTATATTTGAGAATTTATATCTTTACAGATCGTTGTCATATAGCTGGAACATTGATGAGGGCGGCGTCAAACAAACAAACAAACAAACACAAATATTTTTCGCTTAATTAATACACCTGTTTTCAGTGTGGCTGCGTTTGAAACCCACCCACCACCAACACTCCCAAACGGTTAATAATTACATGAACCAAACACATTGTTGACAGCAGCCTGCCTTGTGGAAGATGTTGAGTCATTGGAAGAGATGAGGTGACGAGCGTTTGATCTCGAATTTAAAATACATTATTTTCCATGTTTTTAGAACGAAGGTCATTTACACGTCAGGTCAGTGTATGATTATTTTCAGATATTTATTTCGGGGAGAAAAAGGCTTTTTCAAATAATTATAATTCGCACGCATTAGCATTCTGTTATTCTGCACCACCAACTGACCTACTGAACGCCACAGGCATCTGACAGCGTAATATGCGGTGTGGTGAACTCCGTAGTATATCACATGGAGGACTGAGATCACTTCTCCAGCAATCTTTCTGTGGAAACCTTAGTAAAGCAGAGAGCCGTTCTACAGCCATAGAAACATCACATCGATTTAAGGCTTCTTGCATGCAAGTGTCTTTCCATATTATCGTTATTAGACCCATTACATACAGTAATAAATATGTTTGATAGACTCACACTCAGGCTGTCATCCCCACCCCCTAACCTCGTGGCGGGGCGGTGGGGTAGCCTAGTGATTAAAGCGTCCGCTCGTCACGCTGGAATTCCGGGTTCGATTTCCCCACATGGATACAAATGTGTGAAGCCCATTTCTGGCGTCCCCCGCCGTGATATTGCTGGAATATTGCTAAAAGCGGCGTAAAACTAACCTCACTCACTCACTCACTAACCTCGTGGCTCTAAAAAGAATCCCGGATATATCTCATTGCAGCACCCCCCCCAAACAAAACACCGCCTCCGTGGTGTAGTGATTAGAGCGTCCGCCCGGAGAGCGGAAGGTCGCGGGTTCGATCCCCGACTGCGTCATACCAAAAGACGTTAAAATATGGTACTTGTTGGTCCCTGCCTGGCGCTCGGCATTAATGGGTACATCAAGGACTGGTCGGCTCGGAGTCAGTATAATGTGTCTGAGTGGGGTATTCATGCTTCACTGCGGCATGGTATCTCAGTGGGCTGGCACTATAAAACCAGCTTAAATCTGGGCTACTACAAGCAGCCGCACATACACATACACACGCATGCACGTCGTCATATGAGCGAAATATTCTTAAGCAAGACGTTAAACCCAAATCTCACCTCACCTCACCCAAACAAAACCCCAGACAGACGCAGTAAATTATTTTTGTTATTCCCTCGTATGTTTTTGTCTGTAACTAGACTTGATGTGCCCTCAAATGTATTTTATGAGCCTTTTTTAACACAATACACCCTATCCTCTAATTCATTTTTCTAACGCCAGTCGAGCTCGTTAAGCTTGTTATTTTATCATAGACCGGTTTCATAAAAACATATATTCTACAGTTGGTTTCGCCTTGTGAAACATTTATATTGTGTAGTTATTGTGACTGCGACACACACACAGCGTTAGAATGTCCTGGAATATGTCAACGAGTGAGAGAGTGAGTTTAGTCAACATATGTCTAATTGAATATGCCCACTAAAAACACTTACCAGTCATGGAATTAATGATACCTATTAACATGCGATATTCAAATGTCATGTCGGAGACACGTCCAAATAGCATAGTGCACTCTTGTATTACCTGGCGCCGAAATCGAACTCCATCGATATTCTGATATGTTGAATTTCGTTATCGCGATCGCGTGCTACCAGAAGTACAGCATGAAGTGCTATCGATCCTGTGCTGATGAACGGGCTATGGGATAAAACAGTTGGACGTTATTCCCAAAATCAGTTTAGATAAATTCATAGTAAAAACACAAAAGACATGTCGTTGTAATGCCGTACAAACTGTATGTCGGTGCTGGCTCGCTATTGATGTTTGATATGCAGCACTGCAGTGGCAAACACCGTGTATCGCTCCGTCCGTTATGTCTGGTTGGCCCACGTTATCAGTAACCAACATTAGCAGACATACAGATAGCACTTCATAAACAGCGACCCAGTCTAGCGTCGCTTTATGATGTGATTCGGGTCTTTTCTCTGGAGCCAGAAACAAAGGGTGAATGAATGCTGTTCTACATATGTATGTGGACGTTGGATGTATGACACATGAATATATGTACATAATATTGATAACAGCTTCTTTCATCCTGTGTGATGGCGAATCAGAGATTTAGAGCTACTTTATGTCCCGTCATCAGGCGAATAAAGAGAGCCAAAAGTTATATTTAGTTAGACACACACACACACACACACACATTCTTTTCTCTCTTTCTTTCTCCCCCCCTCCTCTCTCTTCTCTCTCTGAGACGGTCAGTTAAGTTGAGTAATTGTTACATACACATTTTAGGATTATGATATTATTTATTAATAACCCCGCACCATCAGCTCACCTCTTT